ACACACCACACACAACCACACAGGTGCACACACAACTACGCATGGACACACCACATACACATCACACACAGGTGCACACACACCACATACATACCACACACAACCACACACGTGCACACGCAACCACACACGTGCACACACCACATATGCATCACACACCACACACATGCACACACACCACATACACACACACACACACACACACACACACGCCCCGTGTGGGTCCTCCAAGCAACACACTCCACTGAGTCATGCCAGAGAAATGCAAAGAATGGAAAGAATTCTGCACGTTTACTCTCTGGCTGGGCTCCTCCACCTCCAAGAAATTCCCCATCCAGTGCCCTGGCCCCTTCTGGGGCCCAGAGTGCCCTCCTGTCCCCGCCGCCCTGCCCTGATCAGGTGTGGGAGTGGTTGGGGTCCCAGAAGAACCCATTTCTCAGGGCTGTGGGTGCCAGGTCCAGCTTGGGCCCAGGAGGACCAGCTCAGCCCACAGCCCACCCTTCTGTGTCAGCTCTGCCAGGTCGGGCCCCCAGACGGTGGGAGTGAGGGCTATGGTTGCCAAGCCTCTGGGCCAGGCGCCCCTTACACCTCAGTCGGGCAGCCTTTCTTTTGTGTTCACTGACTTAGTCCAGAGATCAGAGGTTCCTCAATGGACGCTGTGGCCGGTGAGTCTCCACCCTGAGCCCACGTTCCTATCTGTGAAACAGCTTGTGGTCACACCCCGGCATTGCTGGTGGGGCCTCTGGTACAGGAGATGGGGTGGCCTGCAGGTGCCCCCATCCCAGGCCAGGCCAGGCCAGATCTCCCACAGCTTCAGGGCTCTGCTTCCTCCTACCTCCCAGCCCTGCCCCTGCCCCTCACCCCTTCCCCTGAGCACCCGATGCTGTCCCCTGCCCCGCCTCAGGAACTGGGGCCCCCCCGCTGGGGAAAGGCCAGAGGCCCCGGCCCAGCCTGAAATCCACCTCTCTGGTATGGAATGGGTGGTGGCAAGTGGGGCTCTGTGTAGGGCCAGGGCTGTGGGAGCCAGTACAAAGCCCGGCCACAGGGGCCCTCTGTTCCTGCCCCACTGAGAGAGCCAGAGAGAGCTAGGGCTCCATCAGCAGACACAGGCCTGGCAGGACCATAAGGAGGGAGAAGGGAGAACCAACGATGGCCAGTGGAGCCACCCCTGGGCCAGCAAAGCTGCCCACGGCTGCTGGCACCCCGTCCCCATCTCCCGGGGTGAGGGCGCCTGGAACCAGGCACACACCTTCCTGGTGGTGGTGCAGGCTGTCCAGGGAGAAGGACCAGCTCTCTGTCCCCGATGGTAACCAGTGGAGAGACCCCTCCCCAAAAGCAGGTGGTCCCTGGGACCAGGCCCCACTGCCTCCGGGAGCTCCAGGCCCCACCCGTGACACCGCCATCTTCCAGCCCCCGCTGCTGTGTACAGAGCGTGTGGCTCCCCCACACCTCCCACGTGCCTCTGCTTTCAGGGAACCTCGTCTCTGCCACGCTCTCATCTGGGAGAGGAGTGCTGACTCCTGGTTTCTGGACACACCACACAATTTTGGGGTTTCCTTCAGGCCCTGGAATCCCCGCCAGGTACCGTCAGGTGTGCTGGGACCCTGGGGCTCAGTTCACTCCTCGGGAGCAGCAGGAGAACCAAACTCATTCGAGGCCCCATCCTGCAGCTCGGACCCTGAGCCAACCCGCTGCCTCCAGGCTTCCCCCAGCCCCTGGCCCCTGGCCCTGAACACATTGGTCCCCTGCTCAAGCCCTTCAGTGGCTCCTGCGACCTGTGGAGGGAAGGCAGGCCACTGGGCCTTGGTTCTGTGCTTCAAATGGGTCATCCGGGGGCACCACCCACCCCCACAGGGCCTGGGGGAAGGTGTGAGCCAAGGGAGCTGAGCAGAGGGCTGGCCCCTGAGGCCAGGCATGACACTCCCACCTCTGTGCCCCTTCCCACACTGGGAACCTCTCTACCAAGCGCCTTTCCCCCAGGGCCTGACACAGGCAGTCCCCACCCACATCACAGTGCTTGTCCACCTGGCCATCCCCGCCCACGTGGCCATCCCTGCCCTCCTCCCTATCCCTGCCCACCTCTAGGTCCTCAGCCTGGGTGTTGCCTACTTCAAGGGCCCCAAGCCCTCAGCTAGGCCAGGGCTGGCTGGGCAGGCAATGGAGGGGCATGAGCTGGCTCAGTCCTGGGGAAGAGGTCCTGTCAGTGCCTGGGCTGGGGGGCAGGGTCAGGAGGGAGACAGCCACGCCCCACACTCAGGACCTGCCCCGCCCCAGCCCCCGTGGCCTCCTCTCTCCTCTCGATCCTCACTTACAAGTGGGGAAACCGAGGCTAGGCAAAGCAGGGTGGTGGACCAGACCCCCACTGACTGCAAAGGAGCCACAGAGGGCAGCCTTGACCTCAAAGCCACACCAGGTTAGGTTCAGGGCTGGGAGGCCGTGTGGAAGGCACGAGGCCCCCGCCAATGCCTGGCCCTGGCATGTCCCTGGCATCTGGCACTGTGAGGACAGGGGTGGGTGGGCATCTCTCGTGGGGAGGGAAGGCTGCAGCAGAGGAGGCCACCGGCCAGACCCAGGGCACTGGGAAGAGCTGAGTCTTGGAAGGACACGGGTGGGAGGGAGGTGGGCTGGGCCAGGCAGGGGTACTCAGGTCTCTACAGCGGACCCGCAGTCCTAGAATACCACCTGGGTCCTGAACTCCCAGCAAAGGTGACTCAGCAGCCTGCCTGGGCACGGATCCCTTCAGCGAGACCTGGGCAGGGGCCAGCCACAGGTGTGCGGGAGCAGGTGGCCCTTCCACTGGCCTTGCCCCCTGGGGTTTCAGGGCTCTGGAGGACACTGGCCAGCTGCCCTTGGCTGAGGTGGGTGGGCATAGCCGGGAGTGGGAAGTCTGGAGTTGGGACTTAGCCCACCCAGGGCCAGGCCCCAGGCCAAATTTGGTCTCTTGATGGGGCCTGGTGACCTCCCCACCTGTCTCCACTCCACTCGGTGCCCGGGCAACCCTCTCTGTGTCTTGGCCTGTGAAGATAGGTGGAGGGGCTCTGCCTGGGCCCCCGCTGGCTACCCCGACTGCAGGCCCTTCCCTGAAGGCTTGGCTGCTGGTGCCTGCTCCTGCGCCGCCCCCCCCCCTTGCCAGGCAGGTGGGCCTTGGGCAGGTGGGCCCCGCCCAACCTCCTGCCACAGGGCACTGACATGACGCAGCTGCTCCTGGCCGAGGTCCACAGCACATGTGACCAGTGTGCAGACAGACGCAGACTCACACGCAGCACCCGGTCAGACTGGTTCTACCTGGCCAGCCCTTGGCCCAACCTGGAGGCTGTCTTCAGCCCCCAGCTCCCTGCCCCCATCCTCAGGCCCCCCAGCCTCCCTGCCCCGTCCTCAGCCCCCCCAGCCTCCCTGCCCCCATTCTCAGCCTCCCAGCCTCCCTGCCCCTGTCCTCAGCCCCCCCAGCCTCCCTGCCCCCGTCCTCAGCCCCCCAGCTTCCCTGCCCTGTCCTCAGCCCCCCCAGCCTCCCTGCCCCCATTCTCAGCCTCCCAGCCTCCCTGCCCCTGTCCTCAGCCCCCCCAGCCTCCCTGCCCCCGGCCTCAACCCCCCAGCCTCCCTGCCCCCGGCCTCAGCCCCCCAGCTCCCGCCCCCTTTCTCTGCTACCCCCCCCAGCCTCCCTGCCCCAGTCCCGGTAACTTCCAGCCTCACTTCCTCATTTGTGAGCCAAACACTGCTGCCCGGCCTGAGGCCCCTGTGAGGCTGGAATAAGAGGACATCACAGCTGGGGTGGGGCGGGGATCGGGAGGAGGTCAGAGCCTGGTCGGGAGAGACCCCCAAATGTCACCAAGTGGGTGGATGGGCCGTGGAAAGGCAGCCATCCCCTGCCCTGCCTCCCAGGGGCCCTTCTGGCAGTGAGGCCCCCCCAGCTGTGCCAGTCTTGTGCTGCCCTGGTGTCCTCGGCCCTCAGCCCACACGGCCTGGGAGAACATGCTGCAGACCCTCCGTGTTGCTGTGGAGCAGGCCTGGCAGGGTGGCCCCCGGGACTGCCGGGAGCTCCCAGCAGGCGGCTGGGCCAGGTCATCCTTGTTACTCGAATAGCTGGGTAGAGAATTACCTCAACAGCCAGGGTGCACCCCACAATATAGTGCAGCCCAGGCCCCACACTCCCCACACCTCACAACACAGCCTAGCCCAGGCCCCACCCTCTGGCCCCCCCAAATACAGCCTGGCCCGTGGCCTTCCTCCCCCTGCCCCCCCCCGGCCCCAGCAACACAGTCCAGCCCAGGCCCTACCCCCGACCACCCGCTATACCCCCCTGTCCCCCACATCCCCCCGCCCCACTGTGCTTCCCTCAGGTGGATGGCGACGCCAGTCCCTCGGAGCTGCTTGGGGGCTGGAGGGTCGTGTGCGTCATGGGGCCCTGTGTGGCTGTGCCAGGCTTCTCTGGCAGATGGAGGGTCTGCTTCCCCGGGAGGGTACAGGCGGCCCAGCTCCCTTGGTGTCAGGGCCTCCCCGAGCCCCTCTAGAGTAAAAAGGCCGACAGCTGGGGCCCGAGGGAAGGTGCGACTCTGATGGCCCATGCCCCCACAGCTGAGGCCTCACATCTGGCCCGCAGCAGGACACAGCGAGACTCACCTGCAGAGGGCCCCAGCCCTGGGCCTGTGCCGCCCCCAGCATACTGGACCCACCTGGAAGGTTTCTGACTGCCCGCCCCCCTCTCCAGCCAAGGACTCTCCCCAGGGCCCCTCCCCTGGGAAACCTGTGCCCCCACCAGCCAAGGGGGCTCTGCTCCACCGGCGCTGAGCCGCCCACTAAATGCAGAGTCCAGTGAGTGAGGCCCATGCCTGGAGTCCAGGCACCAATGCCAGAAATCTCATACTCTGCTCTAAGAACCTGGGTCCTGGTGGGTGGAAGGGTGTCAGGGTGGGGGGCCAAGGAAATATGGGGCGATGGGCTGGGGGTGCAGACGGGCGATAGTGGAGGGGCAGGGTGGGGGCACAGGCCGAGAGGGTCAGGTAGAAGGGTTGGCAGAGAGTGTTGTGTATGGGGGACCGTGTGGACAGGGTTTAAGGGGCATGGGCAGGCCCTGGGCGGGGCAGCTGGGTACACAATGGGCCCTTGTCCTGCAGGCTGCAGCTCCTGGGCGCCCTGAGCAAATACACGCCCTGTTCTCGGCTGCACACCGCGTCCTGGGACGCCACCGTGGCTGGGGGCCAGTGGGAGGGTGGCTGCAAGGCCAGGGCATCCGCCCAAGGGTTCTGCTGCCCGTGGACCTCCATGTGGAGCCGTCCCCGCGGTGGCCTGGGTGTGGCACTCATGCCTTGGCCACCCCACCGGGTCCACCCAGGGATCCCCTGGGGGAGAGTGGCTCACTCTGACCCTGCTGGAGATGCCCAACCAGGCCCGAGGCCCAGCTCAGCCTGCAGGACTCCGGGCTCCCACTCAAGCCACCTGCATGCCCATCCTGCGTCTGCCCTGCCCTGCCCACCCGCAGCCACAGCCCTGGATGGGCCTCAGCCCGGGGCTTTCTCAGGACGTCTGGGTTGGGGCAGAGGCCAGGCGGGCAGGGCTTGGCTCAGGTCCCTGCCAAGGCACCTTCCTAGGTGCGGGGTCTCTCTGGAGCACCAGTGGGAGCTGCAGGCAGGCCCTGCCAGGGGTCCCCACCCAGCCCTCTGGCCTGCCCCAGGCCCGTGGCCCTGAGAGGGTGATGGGGGCCTGCCTTCCCGACCGGTGCTGAGGACAGCCCTGGCCAGAGCTGGGGGACAGCTGGGACAGGGATCAGCCCTCCCCCAGGGACCTGGGCAGGGGTGGAGAGGAGAGGACCCATCTTCCTGGGGTGGTGGGATGCTCCATCAGGCCGTGGGGGCTTTGTCAGGGGCAGGGAGGAGAGCTGGGGGGCAGCTGAGCACTGAGGGGAGGCACACAAGGCCCTGGGGGTTTGCTGTGGGTTCGGGCACCAGTGGCTGCTCCCTCCTCTCTACGTCTCTTCCCTGGAAGCGGCAGGAGCTGACTGCTCACCCTGAAGGAGTGCCTGAGACACCTCGTCACCTGGTAACAGCATACCGTCAGCACAAGGGCTCGAAGGAGGCCGGAGAACCCAGGGGAGACAGGCACCAAGAAAGACCGTAGCAAGAAAGTTCTTGGCCAGCAATACACCCCACCACACCAGGCAACATCTTGGACGTACGGTCAAGAGCCATGAGGCCTGGTTAGCCTCTCTGGCAGCTGATGCCGCTGAGCCCACCCTCCAGAGGACCACGAGAGTCCCCAGAGCACAGGACGGTCATTGGGGGGCTCCAGGCACAGCACAGCCTGTTGGGGAAGCTGTGGGTAGCCAGGCCCCGGGGCAGCTCCGCGGCAGTGCCCTGGGAGGGCTTCCCTCAGCAGAGCTGCTTTGGCTCAGCGGACCGCCTTGTGGAGTACCCGGTCCTGTGAGGTGGCCACGGAGGGCTCCTGCACCCCTTGCCAGGATGGGTTCCAGGGGACGGGGTGGTGTTCTCAGCTTTACCTTGAGAAGTGTCTGGACCACCTGCCCCCGTGACCCCCGTGTGTGCCTGTGTGGGGACAGGACAGCAGGCATGGGGGCTGCACCAGAGTCCACTGGCCCCAGAGGACAGGAGGGAGCATCTGTCCCTCAGCCAGCATCTCGGAGCCTGGCCGCCCCCAGCACAGGGGTCCTGCCCAAGCCTAGCACAGGCTCACCCTGTTGGCCTGGATGCCTGAATCTGCCCCAGCTGCGCTCTGGGCGTGCAGGGAGCAGGCTCAAAGCCCTACCTCTGGAGCCCACCCTGTGCAGATGGCTCTCACAGGCTCAGCTCCAAGGGCTGGGGGCCATAGAGGGGCTTTAGCGGGAATGGAGGCTGGGTCTGTCAGTGGGCATGGGCTGAGAGTCCCTCCCTCTTGCCCTGGAGGCAGCCAAGGAGGGAAAGAGGCCTGGCCCCCCACTCCACTTCTGCTCCAGAAGCCACCAGGGAACGAAGCCACACTGGGCTTCTAGTGGACTCGGTGGTGGCCAGACTGGGCCTTGAGGCTGCGGCCCCCACGCTAGGCAGGGGTCGTCCAGGCCAGCCTGCACCTGGAGCTGGCCCTCTTTCGAGAGGCACCCACAGCTGCCAAGAGCTGAGGCCAGGGAACTTTAGGACCCCATGGGCCTGGGCCCTGCCCTGAACAGACACAGCTCTGGGGAGGCGCCTGGGCCCCAGGAGGGTCATTTGCATGACAAATGGATGACTAGGAAACTGGTGCCAGGCGAGTGTGTGTGTCTGTGGGTGTGCAGGGGCTCTGAGGGGCCACACAGCCAGCCGCCAATCCCAAACTCAGGGCCGCCCAAAACCAGGGGTCCCTGCCTGCAGGGCTCGGGCGGACAGTGGCCTGTGGTAAAGAAGACTGCTGGTTATGGGGAGAGCCTGGTTCTGGGCCACAGAGTCAGGGCCTGGGCCCTCTTCGGGCCTCAGAATATGTTTTCATCTGTGAGACGGGGCAGCCGCCCAGCCGGCTGCAGATCTGATGGAAGCACCTCATTCTGACCCAGTTCAGGGCTCAGGGAAGGTCAGCACCCCAGGCCCGGAGACCTCAGAGCCAACACCCCCAGGTCCCTATGTGCCGGTCCCCTCCATTTCTGCCCTCCCCTGTGGCCTGCGGGGCTGTGGGGCAGGTGGGGAGGGTCACTCTGAGTAGACAGGGAGGCCGGAACACCGTCCTGGTCGGTGGCAGGGACAGGCGGCCTCGGTCTCGGCTCACCCTGCCTCCTCCATGAGTCCCACTGTCCTTCCTGACTCCTGGGAGCAGCCACGTGGTCTGCAGAGCCCAGCGCACGGGGAGAACTCGGGCTCCTTGTTCAAAGGACGGGAAAAAGTGACATTACAGGTACCAACGGACGAAGCTTGTTCCTTGTTCTGTGATCCATTTCTCAGCTTATCACGGTGTTTTCTGGTATCCAAAATCCCTGGATTACACACATTTATCCTGTCTTTTTTTTGAGGTGGAGTCTCGCTCCGTTGCCAGGCTGGACTGCAGCGTCGCGATCTCAGCTCACTGCAACCTCCACCTCCCAGGTTCAAGTGATCCTCCTGCCTCAGCCTCCCGAGTAGCTGGGATTACAGGTGCCCACCACCACGCCCGGCTAATTTTTGTATTTTTAGTAGAGACGGGGTTTCACCATGTTGGCCTGGCTGGTCTTGAACTCCTGACCTCAGGTGATCCACCCACCTCAGCCTCCCAAAGTGCTGGGATTACAGGCGTGAGCCGCCGCGCCCCGCCCTGATTTCACCATATATCTTCATTTTGTGCAAGGTGAGGTTTCATGCAGACGTCAGACTGCAGGACTCCCATGTGGCACCACTAAAGTCACACAGCTCGTTATCTGCTGCTCAGATGGGCACGTGTGTTTGGTTTTTACCAGAAGAGTGGAAATGCTGCACCGAACTAACTCGACTGCTTTTCATTTTCCTTGCGATAAAATATAAGTAACAGATACGTTGCTGTCGTGTCATTTTTAAGTGTCCAATTCCGTGGCAGTAAGCACATTCACGACGTTGTGTGACGGTCACCACTCTCTATTTCCAGAACTTTTTCATGGCCCCAAACAGAAGCTTCATTCCCATTAAATACTGACCCCCGGCCGGGCGCGGTGGCTCAAGCCTGTAATCCCAGCACTTTGGGAGGCCGAGGCGGGTGGATCACGAGGTCAACAGATCGAGACCATCTTGGTCAACATGGTGAAACCCCGTCTCTACTAAAAATACAAAAAAAATTAGCTGGGCACGGTGGTGCGTGCCTGTAATCCCAGCTGCTCGGGAGGCTGAGGCAGGAGAATTGCCTGAACCCAGGAGGCGGAGATTGCGGTGAGCCGAGATCGCGCCATTGCACTCCAGCCTGGGTAACAAGAGCGAAACTCCGTCTCAAAAAAAAAAAAAAAAAAAATACTGACCCCCGCTACCCAGCCCCTGGCAGACACCACTCTACTCTCTGTGTCTATGGATTCAATGAGTCTCAGGACCTCGCGCTCGGGATCTGCCCCTCCGTGTCGGGCTCATCCCACTGAGCTGAATGTCTTCAAGGTTTGTGCGTGCTGTAGCCACGTCGGAACTCCCTTCCTCTTCAAGGCTGCGTAATATTCCACGGTATTGGTATTCCACATTTTGCTTATCCACTCCTCTGATGAAGGGCACCAGGGTGGCTTTAACCTTTTGGCCGTTGGGAATGCTGCTCCCATGAACATGAGTATAGAAGTCTCTCTCCCGGGCCCTGATTTCGGTTCTTCCGGGGTATTTACCCAGAAGTGGACCCGCTAGATCACCTGGGGCTATGGCTTCACTGAGTCCCCCAAAGTTCATGTGTTGGCAACTTGATCCCGAATTTGATGGTGTTGGGAAGTGGGGCCGGATGGAAGGTGTTTGGGTCATGGGGTCCTGAACGGATGAATGCTGTTGTCTCAGCAGTGGGTTTGCTATAAAAAGACAAGCTCAGGGCTGGGCACGGTGGCTCACGCCTGTAATCCCAGCACTTTGTGAGGCTGAGGTGGGCGGATCACCTGAGGTCGGGAGTTCAGACCAGCCTGGCCAACTTAGTGAAACTCCATTTCTACAAAAATACAAAAAAATTAGCCAGGCATGATGGCAGGTGCCTGTCATCCCAGCTACTCGGGAGGCTGAGGCAGGAGAATCACCTGAACCCAGGAGGCGGAGGTTGCAGTGAGCCGAGATCATAGCACTGCACTGCAGCCTGAGCGACAGAGGGAGTCTCCATCTCAAAATAATAATCACAAAAGACAGGTTTGGCCTCCTCCTGCACACATGCACTCTCTCCCTCCCCTCCCTCTCCTGCTCTTCCAATTTCTGCCATGGGTGGTGCAGCAAGAAGGCCCTTGCCAGATGCCAGCCCCTTGAACGTGGACTTCGTAGCCTCGAGAACCATGAGCCAGTACATTTCTGTTCATTAAAAGTCACGCGATCTCAGGTATTCTGTTACAGCAAAACGGACTGGGGGACTCGGTGTTGAGCGTTTTGAGAAACTGTCTCCACAGTGGCTGCACGGTTTTGCATTCCCAGCAGCGCGTGAGTGTTCCCGTTTCTCCACATCCTTGCCGACGCCTGCTGCTTGCTGGTTTTGGATGACAGCCATCCCGGGGCGGGGGTGAGGTGGTGTCTCACTGTGGTTTCAATGTACATCTCCCCAGCTTCTTTGCCGGACACCGTCCTGCCCTTCTCACCCAGCTCAGATTCCACGGCCACCACTGAACCTGACCCACCCCGCCCAGCTGCGGGCTCCTCCTGCTCCATCCTCCTCACCATCACCCTGTTCCCTCCCTGTCTGCCCCCACCCCCTCAGTGAGCCCCTCACAGGCCCCTGCTCCAGCCTCAGTCTCCCCTCCACGGTGTCTGACAAACAAACCTGTGGCATCATCTCTCCTCCTAACAAGACTCCCTGGGCCTTCACCTCCCACCGTCCCCGCCCTCTCACAGGCACACAGGGCTGTGGCCATCCACAGCTCCCAGGCCCCTTCTCCCCAGCCCACCTCCCTCACGGCATCCAGGATCTCAGGCTCTGGACTCTTCGCTCTGCCCCTTCCGCATCTCCTCAGAGGGATTTTCCTTCTTTCCTCACTAACAAATGTGGCTGGCTCAGGCTTGAGGGTGGGCAGCCATGCTCCTCCATCTGTCCTCCTGAGGACGCACCCTCAGGGTTTCATCGGGTCTGAGGGTGTCCAGCACCTTCCCTGCCTGGTACCACACCCCACTGGAGACCAGACAGTGGCTAAAGGTAACATAGTCAAAGCAGTTCTTTTGGTGTTTTTTGAGATGGAGTCTCACTCTGTCACCCAGGCTGGAGTGCAGTGGCGCAATCTTGGCTCACTGGAACCTCTGCCTCCTGGGTTCAGGCAATTCTCCTGCCTCAGCCTCCAGAGTAGCTGGGATTACAGGCACGTGCACCACCATGCCCAGCTAATTTTTTGCATTTTTAGTAGAGACGGGGTTTCACCATGTTGGCCAGGCTGGTCTCATCTCCTGAACTCGTGATCCACCCGCCTCAGCCTCCCAAAGTGCAGGGATTACAGGCGTGAGCCACCGCGCCCGGCCACAACGCGGAGTTCTTGACTTGCAGGCTTCATTGTCCCTGTCCCAGTGCCACCAGCCGCACCTGCCAGGGGCTCAGGTCAGGGCTCCGGTCCTCCAACACCCCAGAGTCAGCCAGCAAGCCCAGCTGGCTCCACCCTCAACGTCGTGTTGATCTGTTGCTGTCTCAGAACGACCCCATGTTTCAGTGGCTTACAACACACACATTTCTGACTTTCCAGTGGGTGTGGAATCCAGGTCAGGTGTAGCAGTCTCCCTCCGCCCCAGGGTCTCCTGCAAGGCTCAGATCAAGGGGCTCCCTCGGGCTGTGGCGTCATCTGGAAGGTCACGTGTGAATCTTTTTTTTGTTTTGAGACGGAGTTTCGCTCTTGTTACCCAGGCTGCAGTGCAATGGCGCGATCTCGGCTCACCGCAACCTCCGCCTCCTGGGTTCGGGCAATTCTCCTGCCTCAGCCTCCCGAGTAGCTGGGATTACAGGCAGGCGCCACCATGCCCAGCTAATTTTTTGTATCTTTAGTAGAGACGGGGTTTCACCATGTTGACCAGGATGGTCTCGACCTCTTGACCTCATGATCCACCCGCCTCGGCCTCCCAAAGTGTTGGGATTACAGGCATGAGCCGCCGCGCCCGGCATGTGTGCATCTTGAATTCCGCATAAAACAGCTTTACACAATGAAAGGCAACTTCTCACAGCTTATCTGGCCCCAAAAGGGGCATGGAGTTTCCTGGGGGACCCAGTGAGCAGTGACACCTTTTCTCAGGTCCCAACCCCCGAGAGCAGCGTGGGGTCAGGAGCTCTGTGCTGGCACAGCTCCACCCCGAGACTCACGGCCTGTTGCCACTGTGGCCGCAGCCGGCTGCTGGGGCTCTGGGTGACTGGTGTTGCAGCCTGAGGTTGGGGCAGAGGCTGCCACCTGGTGTGCTGACAACCCGGCCGCCCACAGCTCCACCAGCAGGGATTTTGGCGGCCCAGGTGCCCACGTGGAGAGAACAGGTGCTTGGGCCAAGGCCAGGTCCTGGAGGAAGTGGGACCCGGGAAGCCTGGACAACCCCAGGCCTACCCTGGGCATTGGAGGGACCCTTCTGCCCACAGGCCTGGTCCCCAGGCCCAGCAGGGTGAGAGCCAGTCTTCCAAGCCAGGACAGGGTTGGGGGAGGCAGCTCTGGGTGGCTGAGGCCCGGCCATCCTGTGTCACAGCCTCCTTCACAGCTAGAGTAAGGTGGCCCTGCTGGGAGTGACCAGGCCTGGGCCTATGCTTGGCAAGTCCTGGGCTGGACGGGATGTTAGACCACGGACTTCCCAGAGGGACAGTGCGGGCGGGAGTGCAGCTGAGGATAGGCTGGGGCCCACACTCAGGACACGCAGTTCTGGCAGGGTGGCTGGTGGCCAGCCGTGGCCTGGGTGACTGCAGGTAGGGAATCCTGGTGAGTCTTGGAAGTGGAAATGTCCATCCTACCTGAATCCTCAAACTGTAAGGGGCCCGCCCGCTGGAGGCTGCTGTCCCTGCTGGGGGCCAGGGCTACGGGTGTCTGGCTTGGGGGCTGCTGCCTCTGTGGGGAGCCACGGCTAGGAGTGTCTAGCTTGGGGGTCTGGCTCGGCAAGGCTGTGAGTGTGGGCCTCCCTCCTCTGGCGCTAAATGGATACAGCCCTCACACACATGTGCACACATGCCACCCCCATGTGTACGGCTGGCTGGGGTGTTGCTCCCCAGGAGTCCCCTCCTCCAGGAAGCCCTACAACCTGTATTCACCTTCTCCCTTCTGGGTGGCATGACCTCAAAGGTGGGGAACTTTATCCGTGGAGGAAACCCTGCCTTCCCCTCGTGCCTGGTGGGTGGGTCCTTCCCAAAAGGCCTGGGCATGGGGGGCCTTCAGGGCCCCGAGTTTCACTCACAGCTACAATAGGCTGTGTGGCACCCAGAGCTGGCCTGGGTAGAACTGGAGCAATGGCCAGGCCCACCCTGGGGGGCTGGTGTGGGCACTGGGGGGACCCGCAGGGGCCTGGAGAGCTGGGTACTCCTCAGTGACCAGCTGCCAGGCAGACCCAGGGCCTCCTGCAGGGGCTGTTCAGAGGAGAAGGCCTCCACCCCATGGCTCCGCCCACTCACCAGCCCTTCAAACAGCTTAGGGGGCTCTGATCTGGGTTTGAAGGCTTGGGGAGCAAGTTCCTTAGAGGGATTTTTAGGAAGAGTGGTTTTCAGGAAACGCATTCAGAGCCACCAAGGTCATTCCATGAGGGACTGGCATTCCAGTCTCCCTGGGCCTCTCCTCCACCTGCAGCTGGGTACGCAGCAGGAACCCCTCCACCCAGGGCCACCCACCCCACCTGAGACAGATGGGGTCTGCCCCAGCCGCCTGGACATGGCCGACCCAGGTCTGGAGGCTCTGGCACCCACCAC